TAAAGGCGCGAGCGAGCGAGCGGAGGTGTCGAGGGGATCCGTTTTCAGCGAAGCGGAAGTGACTTCCTGGCCGGAGATCAGCTGACGCCTGGGCGGTTCGTCTCGGCCGCCTAGTGAATGGAATATTGAGAGTAGAAGCTCTCTCTTTTCGGGTCCCGAAACCAGCGCACCGGTCAGAGAGGTGGACGAGGTGACGATGCTGGTGGGGAGGGCCCACGATGGGAATCGGACGAGGAGACCCGGTGGAGAGAACGGAGGGAACGTTCCGGGTGGAGGGAAGAAGTGGAAGAACGAGCGTCGGGCTGAAACAAGAAGAACGGAATAAAAGGTTGGCCTGACCGCGAAGGTGAAGCTGAGAAAACGGGCCTGGAGGTGGAGATGGACTCGTGGAGAAACCAGCGGGGGCGGGGCCCCGAGTCTGGATGCTGGGATGGAGCCCGTTCACCATCTTCGTTCATCTCGGACCCAACCCCCTTTCCCGATCAAAACCTGGCCCGTCTCTCTGCCTCTCTTCTCTCTCTCCCTGGATGCTCTCTCGCCTCTCTTCTTCTTCCTCCTCGTTTCTTTATTCCACACATTCCACGTCTTTCCTTGACCTTCTCACCTCTGCTCCGCGTGTTTCTGACTCGGCTCGAGTCAGTCCTGTCGGCGGATCGTGAACAATTTTCGAAGGTTCGAGGATTTCTGTACGATGGTCCATAGGTTGGAATTCGGTAGGGAATGCGGTTTAGTGGAAATTGGTCGGATGATGATTGGTCCATGATTTTAGGATGGTGGATGAGAATCTCAAGGTACACGAAAATGGAAAGCGTAGAACTCCGATCTATAACAAAATTGAAATTAAAGAGAGAAAGAAAAGGGAGGACAGGAAGCTTTCGAATTCTAATGTAGACGAGACAGGGACACGTGAAATTGCAATTACTCGTTCGCTAACAGCTGCATTATAATTAACACGGTCTGGTCGGAGCGAGATAAGATACGATGCATGTAAACTAGGTATATATGATAGACCGATAATTAACGGGTGTATCGAGGTAAGAGGCGACGTTGATAAAATATCCTGTTCTGAATCCTGTGAGCATTACATACTCCTATCTAATCAACTCCATCGTCCTGGCCTTCTATACGCACATCCTACGTAAGATTTGCTTCTCGTCTCTCAATCCTCTCGCAGTGACTGTCCTACTCTTATTTCTCATTTCCATAGCAAGATATGAACAATGTATGAATGATGTATCTGTCAACAGGCTCGTTTCAATGGATATAGGTGTACGTCGAATTTTATCAGACTATGGTCAATTGATTTAGAGATTTCGAATCTGAAAATCGCGCGACTTTCACTTCTCGCACGGATCGCATTTCGTGAACGACGAATATAAACGGGATTTTTTATTGACTCGTTCGTCTTTATTCGTGACTTTATAATTTATATATTTACTTATGGTATTACATTGAATCCATTTATGAAGGGAGACATTTTTCCATGCTATTGAATTTTCTCATCGTCAAATCCAAAGTCGTGACTTTTAGCGTGAAATAAACCTGAAGGATCGTTTGGTCCGTTTCACTTATTTCCAATCGCATCCTTCGCGATTCGTCTCGAGGATACTTGGCGCACGGTTCTTTGTGGTCACTCTCCTTTCTCCGCTGCTCTTTTTTTTGTTCCTCTTCATCCCTGTGTCTGACTCCCTTCCGCCCTTGTGCCCCTAATGGATTACCGGCCGGGCCATTTTTCAGCCGAAATGGATTTTCATAAGGACCGACATTCTCAGCTTTGGCCAGCCGCGTTGGCATTCCCCGGCCATTCTCCGTTTCACCCTATGTCCGGTCCGCCAAAATGTTTGTAAATAGATGTAAAGTCTGGGAGGAGCTCAAGGGGTTCCCCGCTGGGTGAACAAGACACCCCATCGCGATCCACGGCTCGGTACATTTCTCGGCCTCTTCACCATTCTTTCCCTCTCTTTATACGCGGTACATTCGGCCACCTTTTGTATTTACTTCCACCTCTTCCTCTTTCCGCTGTTTCTTCTACTTCGTCCTCATCGTATCTCTCCTCATCCTCCCACTCACCCACTAGCAATCCGTTCTTCCTTTCCTTTGCACTCTTCTGTTCCTTCTTCTTCTTCGTTATTAGTCATCGTACTTTTGCATCTCGTACGTTTCTGTTTGTTCTTTCAGTCTTCAGATTCTTCAGGTCCTTCTGACAATGACTCTTCCTCTTCTACTTCGCTATAAGCATGATGTTGAATCAACGAATTACCTTTAACTTCGTTTTAGAAAAAACATTCAGTCGCACCAGTTTATTAGCCACGAGCACTTTGCTAATCGTCGTTCTGCGATTTCATTTATCTAAACGCGCGTAAAACATCGCGCTCGTAAATTTAACTCCGCCGGCACAAATCAAATATTATACTTTTCGCAATGCACACACATTAATTTACGGGACGAAACGTTCAGGGCGTGAAATATCGCCTCGTTTCTTTTTTTTTTTCTCCCTCTTCTCCGAGTCCAATGTTCCCTTCCTATTTGACAGCGTGCTCTAACATACCTACATACACATTGTTGGCCGTGCAAATTATTAACATCCGTCCAAACACGCGCTTTCTTCGGAAGCGATAAATCATCGGTATGAAAACATATTGTGTTTGCCGTGTGCACTTCTACGTCGTGTTTGCGCGGGATCCTCCGGTATACGCGGAACGCCGCCCTCTCCTATAGGTGCAACGTATGTACCTATATGTACAAGGCGAGTTCAATGGAAATTATACGGATAACAGCGGGAACAATGGTGATTCCTAAAGTCGGACCCGGCTTTCAAATTCACCGATTCACGGTGACAAATCGCACCCATGAGTATACCGATCACAATGGCAAGGTCCCTCGTATCGACGATGACGTTGCAATTATTTAGAAAACCCTGTATTTCATTGTAACATATGGTGTCGTTTTCACGTTGCTACAAAAATGCAATTAAAACGAGACACGCTTCCCATAGTGCTCATAATTGATCGATGTTCGTTCTTTAAAAAATATGATATTAATAAACAATTTCTCAAATACTTTTAGTACAGATACATGATAGAACAATATTTGGGATCTTAAATGCAAAGAAGATGCAGGATAAAGTTCATTTTAAGCGATAAACGAGCGACTCCTTAAAGGGAAATTAGAATTTATTACAAACGACAAGAAATTAACACGTCTGCCTCTGTTTGAGTCTCGTCGACAACTGCAAGTCTCGTCGCCGATTGCCTATCTTCATGAAAGATTGTCTATTTTTCTGGAATCCTACACTCGTATAATAATAAATTTTCGATTTATATTATACTTTTATTTTATATTATATTTTTATCTATACAAGTTTAACAAACATTCTTCATAATTCCATTGTTGTTCGTCTTCTGGCAATCGATTTCTCAACGCCTTTCCTGCGCACCTCTTCAATTACCGAAACTGCTCGGTGATGCGGATCATGTACGGTGCTCGTTCCGCAGCCGGGAAAGGATTAAGGGCGGCTATTGAGGACGACGCGACGCAATATCTCTCATGACATCGCGAGATGCGTGGAGGCGAAAGGGGTCTCGCGCAGAGGCCCGTTTCATTCAGAGTGAGAGAGGCGGGCCGCTTAATAGGAATTCATCCGACAGCCGATGGGCGTGCGATTCGCTTGTGGCGATCGCGTGCACGTGGCCGTGACACCGCGTGCGCCAGGATCGCATCGCGGCGGACCGCGGGCCCCTCGGTTTTCGCCCGCGAGGGAACACGAAACGAAGGAAGAAGGCGGGACCGGTCCCTCGAGTTGTCGTGCACCGCTCAATAGGGGCTAATTGCCGCAAGGAGAGCTGCAAATTCGCGGTATTGTAAGGCCCCGTCTCGTTTTCGTGCCCGCTGTCGAAGCATTGTCGGCGACGGGCCCTTCGTTTCGCGCGCGAGCCGCCACGCCGCGCGGTTTCAATGGAAACGACCAAACTCGACGAGCATACTCGATGTCGCAGAGCCCACGGGACTCATTCTATTTTCTTAACACGCATAGTAATGGTAATTAACGCTTAGGGAGCAGGTGTGCGAGAATTCGATTTTCTACGGTTGCTTTCAGAGAGGAGATGAATCGAAAAGATTAAAAAGGAATGTACAAATTTTTTTACGAAGTCGTAGTTCGTAATAATTTACGGCCGGACGGGGAGGGGTCTGTTTCATCTTCAGGAAATAGAGATGAAGGCATTCTGGCTTCTAGGTAGTTCACACGAAGACCCGCGTAACTTCCTGCCGCGCGAAGTCATGGCATCGTACACGCTTTCTCGCGCTCGCTATTGACCAGTTGGTCCGCGTATCATCCAGGTAGACGAACAGAAAGAGAGAGGAAGAGGAGCTTCTCAAGGGAAGGAAACGGGAGAAGAAGAGGATTGCCGTGACCGAATAATCCTCGACACCGGCCGTATTTATACTTCTGTTTGCCTCCTCATTCGCCACGGACCCTTAAAGGGAGCCTTCGTCCGGTCAAAACACGCATTCGTTTTCCGCCACCCCCTTCGCCCTGGGACCTAGTCGTTTACCTGGCCCCCGAAACGGTTACACGCGGCGCGACGCCTTTTTCCGCGCGCATCCGCGTGAAATCGCGTAAATCCTCCGACGCGCCTGTCGGGAAAATCGCGTTAAGCGGAACTTCGGGGAAAACTGGCCAGGCTTGACCGTGGTGCACTTATCCTATGAAAAGAAACCGTCCACCCTTGTTTGCGTTTTTCGTGTGGAAGTCAATGGAAGGATTGGTCTCGCGCTCGAGGGTGCCTTCCTCCCATACGAAATTCCTTTCACAAAACCTACACATTGTAATTTTAATATCGTTAACAAAAATCTGATTGCCCTCAATCCTTATTTATTTTTTATATACCATCGCTCACCGTAATTTGATTTGAATTAATTTTTAAGTCATTTTACAGTAGATACGAATGTTCACGTTTATGATTATTTTTTTCATTAACCTGAACGATGTACTGTTGCAGAGGTGCAAGGAGAAGCTGAACACTCTCGCTATCTCGGTAATGAACCAGTGGCCGGGGGTGAAATTGAGGGTGACGGAGGGTTGGGACGAGGAGAACAAACACGCGACAGACTCGTTGCATTACGAGGGACGTGCCGTCGACGTGACGACGAGCGATCGGGATCGCTCGAAATACGGCATGCTTGCAAGACTCGCCGTCGAAGCTGGTTTCGACTGGGTCTACTATGAGTCCAGGTCGCACATCCACTGTTCCGTCAAATCAGGTCAGTATTTTATCCGCCACTCTCTTCAAGATCTATCCGTGTTTATATGTAACACCCATAATATTCGATGACCGTTTTTAAAAATCATTTAATATCCCATGTTTGAGTACTTTAAAAACTAGTTACCGATACGTTAGCATAATTTTATGTACACCGTTTATTATTATAATATCTACTTTACTGCTCTCGATGGTAGAAAATTATCTGTCCAATACAAATTTCTGTTGATGATAGACTTTAATCGATTAACGTGACTCAGTGAGGCGTTGCAGCTTACATAAGCAAATTGTTATTAAACTCCGTTCCTCTGGTGGCTTACGTTAATTTGCTCGCAAATTTCAAACAAACTCACCGAAAGGTCTTTACCTTGTTAACATCGATAGCACTACCAATAGTTAGTTATACTTCATTAATAATAACTTCTAAAGATGTATAAATGAAAATTTATATTCCAACGTTTATTTGCATGAATTATAGAGTATAAAATTTGTACGTGAAATTCTGAGAACCGTCTTAAACCTTATCAGTTATCAATTCTCCCAATAAGTCGTAGTATCGCTGGCAATCAACATGCCGCAGAGGCTGCGCATTCTAATATCTCGCTTCGTCACGTTTATTTCATCCATTACGCTGAAATAATGTTGGTAAAGCCATTTAAGTCAAGAACGAGTGACAGCGTCGATGTTATCCGGAATTCGTTTGCGCATTTCATTCCTCATTCAATTACGCGGAACATTAATAATTTCATAAACAGATGTACATATTATCATCTTTAAACATCTCATCTTCATGTCATCTTCATAGCATCTATCATCAAATATTTGAAGATGCATTCTGCTATAATTCTCTAATTGCACTTCATCGTAATGAACAGTACGCATTTGTCTAATTTAATAAACTCAGTAGACATTCATTAAGTTCAATTAGTCCCACACTTAAAATTGTATTTTCATGCTAAAATACAAAAATACAAGTTTTGATGTAATTTAATTTTTCTGTTTTGTTATGGAATTTATTCTCATGTTTACAAATCTGTTCAATGAATAAATAAACTATTATTTATTTATCAACTGGAAGGGAATGTTGAAAAATATTGGAGCAATCGTGAACGCCGACTCGTTTTAGCGGCTAGCCGGAGCTCGAGTTTCAAAATAAATGTCAATAAATCTAGGCGCGCCTGTCGGTTCGAATTAGATTCAACCGTAACAATCACCGCGAAATCGATACGAGTCGAAAAAACGATATTCGAGGGACGACCGAGAGAAACTCCAAAAGAAACCGAGAGAAAGCGCGCGTAGCCTGTGAACGCGTGTCACAAATTCATCGCCTGCACCGAACGAATCTTATTTTCCATTCCTAGATTGATGATTCCATTCATTTTTTTATAGCTACCTCCTGCTTTTTTTTTTTAACAATTTTCTGTCTCGAGGACTTGGATAATTAAATGTATTGTCTCCAAAACGGCTTTTCCAATTCGTAATTTTTACTGAAACATTTATCCACTTTTCGATTAATTTCTTACATTCATTTTCCGATTACTTTTCCATCTTTGCAATTTACCGATCAGTTCCCGAGAGGATCGCGTGCGCGTTTGCATTCGAGAAGAGTCCCTAAGGCACAGAACTTGTCGAACGATCGTCAGAGAAACGTTTCCTATGGTGATAAGTCGCATCGATGCCGTCGCGTGGAGAAATTTAAATTCAAATGAGACCCGGCGTCGCTCAATCCCGACGGAGGGATCCCGGAGCGTCGGATCCCGGGGGAAATCCAGGACACGCGTGAGCAACAATCGTTACAAGCCGGATTGTCGAACGTAGTATATTGCCACGAATTTCTCACGGTTTCGTCGCTTCGGCGCTTGTATCACGGCGCGACGTCGTCGCACCGCAAGTCCACGGATCCGCATTGTTACATCATGAGAAACATTCTCACTGACTTCGTTTATCTCTGCTTGCAGAATCTTCGTCTGCTGGAAAATCCGGAGGGTGCTTCCCAGGCAGAAGCCTGGTGCGAACCGAGAGCGGTACAACGAAGAGACTGGACCAAGTTCAATTGGGTGAACGCATCGCAGCACTCGACTCCAAAGGCGACATCGTGTACAGCGAGGTGATCGCTTTCCTGGATCGATCCTTGACAGAGAGGAGGCAGTTCGTCCAATTGATCACCGAATCGGGTCGAGTGTTGACTCTGACGCCGGCTCATTTGGTGCCAATAGAAGGCAAGTCGTCGATCTTCGCCGGGAGGGTTCAACCAGGAGACAAAATCTTGGTGAGGGATCCGGACGAGGAGAACGAAATCGAGCATCGTCTACGATGGGACAAGGTGGTCGAGACTCGATTGGTCCTCGAGGAAGGCGTCTACGCGCCTCTGACGACCGAAGGAACCTTGTTGGTGGACGACGTAGTCGCTTCCTGTTACGCAGTTATAGACAACCAGGAGGTTGCCCACCTCGGATTTCTGCCATACAGGATGTGGAGCACCGTGAAGTCCTTCTTTGAGAGGAGACCTCCGGCCGTAGAAAATCAGAGGTACTCGGACGTCAGGCAGGACTCGAGTACGGCACAGGAGGAGGGCATTCTCTGGTACGCGTCGTTACTCTACTGGATCTCGTCTTACGTCACGCCGTCGGGGATGTTGTATCAATGAGAATCTACCGATTGGAAAAGACTATTTTTGGTTTTACCGTAAAACGGGCCGTGAAACGTGTCAGGAAGAGTGTCACGTGCGGCCAGAAAAATCGTGTACGGAGACAAAGAAACGGGAGAGACGTGAATCCTGAGAGGTGTCTTGTGCAACTCGTGTAAAGAAGCAATTGTAATTTAATGGAGGGAACAGGGGGAAACGTGGTTTATACATGTCATGGATTTTGTCCACCGGGACGATACAAGTGACGTTCGTTGGCCAGTGACCCGCCTCCGTTCACCGAGTGACGTGTAGTATACTAAATTAGGTATTATTATTGGACGCAACTGAAGGAATCGAGGCAAAGCTTTAGAGAGAATCGAGAGCTTTGACGTCCGTAGCGTGTGTACATTACGAATATACATAAAATAATACTGTAATTTCCTTCCCTTCTCTCTCTCTCTCTCTCTCCCTCTCCCTCTTCCTAGTTTCTCTCTTCACCTTTACCGTCTTCTCGACGAACGTGCGCGCGAACTGTGTTTTCTGAGATGGATCTGCTCGGTTATAGAAACGTGACTACAAAGAATAAGACTGTGACGAGCCACTTGTCTTGACAGTGAAATCGATGCGAATTATCGGGATGGAAGTGCGTGTTTGGAATTTATTTATGGAACTCTGAATGTAGCGGTTCGACGAAACACTCGCGGTGCTTAAAAAGCACTGCCGGGTTTCGTATACTGTCGCGTGTAGTGGAACGTTTCGTTATTTATGTAAAACCACGTTTTCTGGGATTACTCAGGTTTCACGCGATGGAATACATTTTTCTCCGTTTATTCGTATCACGTGTACCGCGACAGAATAATTGATTTTGCTTTGTTCACGGTTCTGCGTTTCATTGCTTTTGCAATGTTTTTAGTCGAATAGATTCTGTCTGCGTTAACGCGTTTATGGTTACACGTAATTGTAACCACCGGTTTTTAATCAAATCCCTGGCAAGCCGATGGAGAGTGAATTTTTAAAGTTGATCATGATCAGTAGATGATAATTACGATCGATGCAATGCCGCGGAAGGCTTTAAAATGCATGACTGCGACGGTTTACTCACGCTTACGGCAATATGTTTTTAACCACGCTTTTACTAACTGGAAGCATTTGAAAACATATTATATAGGAATTTTATTAAAAATTCAGTGAAATCGAAGACACGTTCGTGTACGCCGCAACGTACTATCCCTTTTTAAACGAGCTTCCCTCGTTAAACTGCCGTTCCCTGGATGCAACTGGCATTTAAATTAATTTATAGAGGTTCCCTTCGACATTCGTTAAACGCTTCTACTTTCGTGCTTCGCACAAGGTAACAGGCTTGGAAAATAAGTATTGCGTCCTTCGAGCAATCTAGGGGAGTAGATTAAAACGCGCTTCAAGTGAAAAATAAGAAAAAAAACGAACGGATCATTTGTACATAGTCATTTTCCCTCTGTTCTGTAGATGTCTGCGTCGCTGCTCGTCTTTTAAAACATAAAGGCATAAGATCGCCGTTGCATTTAACGCTTTTCTATAGACGAGACAACGAATTCTCCTTCTACCCTTCGATGTACAGTAATCCGTGGCGTACGAAATTTTTATAAATCGTTCACGATCATCGCCCATCCGCAGATGACGGTCGCTTTACGCTAGGGTGGTTACCGACATCGACGATTAAGTTATCTCCAGAAATTTTATATATTATATATTATTATATTATAGTAATTATTATTATATTATTATATATTATATATTATTATTATTATTATTATTATTATTATTATTATATTATTATTATTTGTACGTAGCGAAAGAACAAATTATAAATTATGTATATACACCATCGATAGATTGAATTAAAACATTAAACAGAGCAGAAACCAGTGTGTCTTGTGATTGTCGTTGCCATTCTTTAAAGAATTTAATTGTTAGTTAAACAGTTAGTCAAAGTATATGAAAATTAGTTTGATATATTAAGAATAGTCAGATAGAAAGAAAAATATAGATTTAAATGAATCCATTCGTATTTGAGCGAAACGTCCTGACAAAAAAGAGATATAACAGTGAAATCGACGAATCGTTACTTCTTTGTCTAATCGAGTATTATAAGCGAATCATAACTCGATGGAGGCTTCATCTATGATTTCACGGCTTTACGGGCGAACATTATTTTGCTTCGGCAGCATAATTGAAGCTGACGCGTGACGAGAATGGCGGAGGACGAAGATCCAAAGATAGAAGTGATAAGGGTAAATATTCCTGCGTATCAAAGAACAGAGGTTACGATCCAGTCTTAACAATAGAATTGTAATAAATTCTCTGTCACTTGAACTACATTCATAAATCATATTGATAAATACAATATTGAAGAAATTGCTATTTATTTTTAATACAACATTTCATTGACTTTTATCTTTACTTTTCTGTATTATTGCTTGATGTGACAGACTATCAGTAAGAAATTTGTTGTTTCAGCAACCCAGTGTGGTAATTCCGCATTTGCAAGAATTAGAGAAACACTTTTTTGAGTTAGTCTCCTACGGAAACGTACCGGATGTGCGACAATTTCTCGAGGAACATCCGGACTTTAATATCAATGTAATTGATTTTCAGGTAAGGGGAACCGACTGCTTTGATTACACAATCATAATACAGACTCGTACAACTAATTTAACTAGAATTTTAAAATACCAAGGAATTTAACGCATGTGTCTTCATGTTCTTCATGCAAATTACAAACAGAAATCAGTGAAATTAATAATTAGCACCAGTAACGTGTATCAAACAATGTCAGACACGCATAGCCGATATTTCTTCTTTCAACGCTCGTAAAGATCATCGAGAGTTATCAGTTATCACCAGTTTCCCACGACGTAAATGGTGTCCGTCGTTTATGTCAGAGAAAGAAGGTCGTAGGTAAATGGACTATTTCGTTCACGAACTTCTCCTAGCTCGACCCGCTTTCCCGGGATCATTTACGATGATTTACGCGGGAGACTGTCTCGAAAGTTCAAAGAGCAGCGGCGCCTTTTGCTCGCGCTGATTCCCCGAACGGACGGCGACGAGGAAGACGGGAGGAGTTAAAGGAGCAACGACGAAGTGGAAGCTGCAGAAGCGAACAGAAATCGAAGGAAGAAGGTTGCGAGACGCGATGCGACGCGGTCTCGTTATCTCCGATCTTCACCCCGTCGAGGTACACGTTACCCCCCGTGGAATGTTTACCCCTCCCCCGACGAGCGTTTCGTGTCATCCTCCTCTGTTCGGGGTTCCCAAAAAGCCCAACCCTCGGTCCTCTTTGAGGGCCAGAGAGACCGCCTCGATCGGGGAGAGAAGGAAACGCGATTCTACGTTACGTAGGAAGAAGAGAGGAAAGTCGGAGGAGAAGAGGAGATAGAGCGCGAGAGGAACGGAAGAAGCGATCCGGCTCGGCTCACGGGCTCGAGTCCCGTGTATCTACGGCCATATTTCAGGCCGTCCTTTACAAGACAATGGTTTCAGCCGAGGACCGATAAAAATTATTCAAATCACTGGTCCCGCTGTAAATTCCACCCGGGAATCCCCTTGCCACTGTGCGCCTCCGGCTGCGCCAGCCACGAGATCGCTCTCGTTTTTTGGAGCGGACCCAATATTCGTGAAACATCAGCGACGGTTCAGAAGGTTTTGCATGATAGTAGTGATAAGCGCGATGATACAATTCCATCTTCTAAATTGAATGGACCCGTTCTTATCGAAGGACATACTTGAATTTCACTTAATTTATTACTACAACGTCTGCGCAATCTCTTAACCATTAAATCATCGATAAATGAAATAGGAGAATGGATGAACAAATAATTGAAACTACAAATCACTGGGCCACAAAAGACGTGAACCCTCTTTCAACGAACCGCAAGATATTTCCCAAATATTTTGACACTCGACCTCCCGAAATTCCTCCAATACATCGATTGTGTCGTGGCTCGTGTTTACTCTGACGCGAAAATCGCTGAGGAGACAGCTGTCGGATTCGGTGTGTCCTATAAAAAAAGGTGAGGCCCTCGATAGGCGAGGCATATATCACAAGGTGGCATTGTGACGGTCCCAGGGGACGAAAAGCCGGGATATCAGGGAATATTGTGACCGCCGTGTCGGCGACACAATGGACCCGGCCCATTGTCGGTGACCGCCTCTGTAAACGCGCCGCAGACGGGCGACAAACGTCGTCGTCCCATTCTTCGTACAAAAAGGAACACGGCCGAGATATGGAAAGAGGAAGGAAGAAGAAGCTAGGGGGGGCAGATATAGAGAAGTTGGAAAGTCGATTTCACGAGCACCGAAAAGCCGGCCGTGGAATTCCGTGATCGTGGAAAGCGTAGACCGTCCGCCCTTCCCTGACACGTGCACGCCTGCAAGCGGATTCTATTGTACATACTAGAATGGAGTCAATTGCTGCAGTAGGGAATGAATGGTTTTACGAAAATTGTAAAACCAGTATGCATGCTTATCCGAGCGAACTGCGTGTATGATTGAATACTAGTTGGGAATTGAATAGGAACGTTGAACGAATTGCAATGTTTATAAAAATATCAATAAAGATATAATTTATTTTTTCATCGAAAACACGTTCGTACGATCTTCCATTCATTAATGGAGACTCGTGGCTTTTCTTTAGGGTGTAACCGCCCTTCATGTCGCGGTCCACGACAGAAATCTGCCGATGGTAGAGTACCTGCTCACTCATCCGGATATCGATCCGGGTGATACCCACTTGCACGCGATCCGCGACAACGAGATCAAGATCACGGCGGTAATATTGAACAAACTGAACGACCTGTCGGCGGGTTTGGAGTACGCCGGTGTGACGATGAGCACCGACTTTCCAGACGATACGACGCCGCTCGCGGTCGCCGCGCAGTACGGTCACTTCGAGATGATCACTTACCTACGGAACAGGCAACACTCACTGATGAAACCCCATCCGCCGAGTTGCATCTGCGAGAACTGCAAGTATGAAATCTCGGATATAAGGGAAGCGAAGGGTTCGTAGAAAAGTTTCCAGACTGTGATTCGAACGGATTTGGAAAGGAAAGTTGGTGACTATGGAAACTGCTGGTTTTTAGAAAACTTCGTCGAACTTTATAAACTGAATTGTGAAAGGATTCTCAAATAATATTCAATTTTGTTATCTCGATTTCATAAGACGATGGAACACGATATCGTACGAACATGATTTATTTTCTATCTTTCACGTTTGACTGGGAACGCAATAGGAAACGCTGAAATGAGCATTTCAATTAAACGACCATCTCTTTTGATACCGTAGAAGCGATCGAGAGAAATACGATTTGCTCGCGTTGGAGAAGATGCGAATGTTCGGCTACAAGGCTTTCTCGAATCCGGCGTATATTTGCCAAACAGTTGACGATCCGATTCTAGAGGCTTTTAATTTGTCATACGAGCTGAAGCAAGCAGCCTCCTTCGACAGAGAATTTTATTACGAGTACAAAGAACTTGCCGAGGTTCGTTCTGCTTCAAAATTCTAAACAGACAGAATTCATGTTTCCACGGAACTAATAGAATTCGAAGCTTCTAAGATAATCGTAATAAACATAATTTTCGTATTGTTGTTATTTTACTGTCTTATATAATTCGATTCATAACCAGTTCAATTATTAAATATAAGAATTTTTTCCGCAGAATATAACTCAGTTCGCGACGGAGTTAATTGGTTGTGCCAGAACCATTGACGAGGTGGAGTGCATACTGAAACAGTCCACCGGTTTCGCACATTCGTCCAAGTTTCTGTATCCGCGGCTATTGTTCGCGCTGCACAATGTGCAAAGAACCTTCGTGGCCCACTCGAATGTACAACAGGTAATAATCGAGGAATTACACGAGTTATTGTCAAACGATATTCGCACAGCATTTTTTATTACTTCTGATTACAGTGTATTCAATATCTTTGAAAATCAATGGAAAACAAATTTATGAGACTGTTTATTTTATAATAAAAAAGCATAATAAGATTTCTCATAGCAGTATAAGAAATATTCGCATTATGAGAATTCATCGATAAAATAATGTATTTCAGTTAATTACAAGCAAATGGTTGGATGGATGGATAGAGTGGAAAGTCATGCACCCGGTCATAAAGTTTGTGAGGGTGGTGTGGCGGATCGTCATGCTTCCAGTGATATTGGTAGTGTTCATGGCCGCGCCCAATTCCCGTTGGTCGAAATCCTGGCAGTCACCGGTGAACAAATTCATCTCATCGACTGCCAGTTATCTGGTGTTCCTAATGTTCTTGTTCCTTCAGTCGAACATGGACAAGTCCGAGGAGCTTCGCGGACCACCCAGGACCGGTATACTTCACTTCCCTTATATAATATAAAATATTAGTAATAGTATAAAAAATTCCTACTATGCTACTGACGACTAAGACATCTGATGGTCGCGATTCGATTTCTGACCTCGGCCGTCATTCTTCAGGATACGTCTGGGTTTTGATCATCTACATGATGTCTTACGCGTGGGCATCGATCCGCCTCTTCGTCATACACGGACCGAACAGATTCTTCTCCAGACCGTGGTATTGGTACGATCGTCATGAAATTATTCTTAACTTGTAATTCTTAATTAGATGTAAATTAATCAATTCTGAAATTTTACCAAATTGATAAAACCCGAAAGTTTTATATGCAATTTTGTAGTCTATAATGTGACAATTTCCTAAATCACAGGTTTGAAACGATCATGATATTGATGTTCACGATGACGTTCATATGTTGGATAATTGCCGCTGTAGACGTGAGAGTCAATGGGCAACTCGAACTGGAGAGGAAATATTGGAATATGTACGATCCGACGTTAATTGCCGAAGGAATTTTCTGTCTGGCGACGATCATGGCTTTTTTAAAATTGTTGTACATTTTTCAATTGAGCTATAATCTGGGACCGCTTCAAATTTCTTTAGGGAAAATGATTGGAGACGTCGTCAAATTCATCGCATTGTTCATGATAATTATTCTCGCATTCACAGTAGGTAATGGGAACGATTTTTCATATTTTTTTTCTATTATCTATTATTATATAGTTCTTATTAATAATGTAGGAATAATTTTGTTATCACAGGTACATGCAAATTGTACCAGTACTACGACGGGATGGTGCGAACCGACGATGAATCGAAGATAAAAACCGAACAGGTCAGCTCATTCGTGAATTTCTGGGCCTCCCTAAAAACGTACTTTTGGGCGCTTTTTTGCATGAGTCCTATCGAGAGCGCCGACGTGATAATTGAAAACCTTCCGGGAGAAACGGAAAGTGAAACTATCATCAATCATCATGACATCACCGAGATCATTGGCTATATATCATTCGCCGGTAAAGCGTGCATACACAAACGAGACACCAAGGAGATATTACTAAAGAGTGGTAGTCTTATGGGACTTTACGTCGCATGATAAAGTGTGCAATATTTGACGCCTTCTAGAATATATTGCTACCAAAGTAGGACATAGAAATCAGGACACTCGATGATGCTCACTTATTAAATATTGACGCTAGCGAAAAATGTTTCAGACCAAAGTTGTATCTTTAGGTGTCAGCTATAAATGTTACCAACTGCTTTGAGGCCCATTGGGCCCCATTCGTTGTTCCAATGATTACACGGACACTGCCACTCTTTAATAGCATCTCCTTGGTGGACGAGATATACGAGTAGACCTTTCATTTTATGGATTCTTGTATCTCACGTGCGATTATCATACTGACACGAGAAATACTAATTCCGTAATCTCTATTTTTACAGGATTCACCGTTATCTCTGTGATAGTTATCCTGAACATGCTAATCGCTTGCATGTCCAACACGATGGCGACAGTCACGGAAAACGTGATCGTGGAATGGACCTTCGGTCGAACTGAGGTAAATAAAATACAGGAACAAGTAGATCCACACAGATTAATTATAATCATTAACTCGATTCATCGATTAATTATTTAGAATTGAAACAAAAATGACAAAGTATTACTTAATTTGTTTTAAGCATACGAAACTCTAATTTGCAGGCTTACGTTGATTTTATGTTAACGGCTGCGCTTCCACCGCCGTTCAATATTATCCCAACGTTCGTCGGTATTCAACCAGTGATGGAATATATAAAAATATTTCTAAAACCTCCAGAGGACAAACGTGCACGATGGGATATCAGTCACTGTTTTTATATTGTTAGTACGATAAATCGCATTTATAAAACAGCCTGCAATATCTCGTAACATCTTCATTGTAGTACAAAGGCTATCATTACATATTATGCAATGAATTTCTCGCAATAAAGAATTTTAAACCGCTTTCCCAAACATATCCTCTTACTGTTGTGAAAACTTATTTCGGCAGTAAATTATTTTCGACAGGAATCCTTGGAAGAGGATAAGGATCGGCAATTTTCAATCGTAATGTCGTCATTGGTGCAACGTTACTTCCGGCAAAAGGATAAGCAGATAGAGGAGAATGAAATAGATAGGCTAACGAAAGAAATCTTGGAGCTGAGGACTGTTTTGAGAGATGCATTGGACACTGATTGAAGGGATTCCTGATTCGAAGTTAATTGACAAATATCATTCAGAATTTCCTCGCCGACCAGCTTAAACGATGAGCAAGTTCGCGTGCGAAGCGAGAAACGAGCGCTAAAGAATTCTCACAAAGGAGATAAGGAAATTAGTAGCAGGTCAGAGATTATGAACTCTTGACGAATCACGTGGACCGTCTCGATTCGAGACTAAAGAGAAGATGAATCGTCCATCCAAGAAACTTGGATCAGAAAGAAGCTTTGCTTAAACCCTCTCGAGGGTATTCCTTTCTGCGCCTTAACATTTTTCTCAGAAAAGCGATCCGCCTGAGTTCCTTTTTCAGTTTATAATGAGAATATCATTCACGTGAAAATCGTAAAAAACGTACCGTTTAATATCCATTTTACCAACAATAAATTGAATCTAGAAGTTTAATATGCATGTTGCACAAGGGAAAATTATAAATAAATAAAGTTATTGTAATATTTTATAATTTGTAATATTTGATAATTTTTAATATTAATAAAAATGATATTGTGGATCGTTTCATTGTAACAACGATGGATATCTGCATTCGTTATGAATTATTGATTATTTAATTTCCATGATATTGCCCTCTCATTGCAGCGAGCTCTGATACGAGCATTTTCATAAACATTTCTGCAACGTTATCAGTCTCGCTACGAGCATGATAAAAAGGTCATTTAAACGCACATCACGTTAAATATATATCCTATATTCTTGGAAATGCGAGTACCAGTAATCCAAAACACATTCCACTCTATTGCATAAAATTTGTTTTCTAAAATAGAATATTTAAGGTATACATTTCTACACGGTTAATGCATCTTAGTGACTCGTCGTTATTAATGATCGTGTGGATGTTCATAAAAGCAATCTTTTTGTAGAAAAATAAAATTGTGTAAAGTAGGCACTGAAATTAGTTCCCAGTTACCCTAAACATTAAACGAATAGATAATCACGTCAACGTTGTTCATTAATTACCTGCTGCAGTCCAAGTTATATTGGAATTCTCGTTAAACTTTGCTCGATTTAATGCAGCTGCATATTATCGAGATAACTAAATTACCCGGGATATAAGTCAGTAATTGAAATCCGTGTTCGCACATTTATTCCATGATTTTATACAAAATTAACAAAATTACTTAATTCTCAATAGCTAATTTCAAATGAGAGTACGAAATGAAAGTAAGCTATCCATTAGAGAATCAGCTTGCATTTTTTATTATCAGGCGACGGATACGAGAATTGATATCAATTTATATAGAACGCCAGTCCTGAGAAGTGCGTGGGTAGCTTTCCTTGGGTCATATCGAATAAGTGAAAGGAGCCTAATCTCAGCGTCGTGGTGCGAAGCTTATTCCTTCTGACGGCTTTTCGAGAGAGAAAGAGAGAGAGAGAGAATGGATGAATAAACTTATTTATACGGACGAAAGTAGACGCGGAGAATCGCAGAGAGCTCGTGAATAGGGTTAACGACCCCTCGCAACCTTGCTAAATCTTCGGGACCTTATGACGACGATTTTTCTGCCAGCTTCGTGAGAAGACGCGGCTTTAAAAGCACTTTTTCCCAGAGTGCTTCTCTCCTCGCCAGATGGTTGATTTTTAAAAAGCGCAACATGCCAGATGAAAATCCTCAGAGGAAATGAGGAAGATTATGAGTAATGAATTCCTTATGAACAGAGAAGACGAACAATTATTCCCCACGAGAGGAAGGTGACTCATAATTGTATAATAAAAATATGCAATAATTGACCGGAATGAAATAAAGGACTGAAAAATTTTATCGTGCTGTTTCATTAATTTCCAGTCGAAAAACTTTTATCGAAAAGGTCTCCGAGTGCAATTAAAACTTATGGCGATTGTAGACATTTGCTTTAAATTCTCCCGGTCGTTTATCAAGCCACCGTTTTCGATACCCATCCGCGCCACGTCGGAAGCATCTCCGGTAAATTGAAATCAATATTGACACAGAACGAAACCATTATTAACTATGAACTGCAGTGGCTAAAGAAGACTAATAAGGAAACAATGAAGAAAGATTGCACTCAGTTTCAAACGCGAGAAATTCATTAATGATTTCAAACGAAATGAAAGTAATCGAGATGGAGTTAATTGAAAGGAAAGAGTAAAAACGTGTCGCAGTGGGGTGCATAAGAATATAAACAGGTTTGTTGAATGAATCGATGTCCGAACCCAAGCGGTTTAGCCTCGAGTGGTTGAAATTACGCCGACGTTAGCCTGTCCTCATACCTCGTGACGCAATGCTAATATTTAAACAACGGAATTGGTCGCGCTGTTGGAGGAGCAATGGAACGAAACGGGATCGAGGCACCTATTAAACAACCGTAATACGGATCAACTATATATAAGTGGCAATAATAATCTAAGAAGCTTTGTTCCTTGTTCTTACGTCATTTATCGTTTTACTGATACTGTGTTCCAGATACTACAGATGGTTCTAGGAATAGCTGCCATGTGGATAATAAAACTTGTTTTCCTCCCTTTCGACCTTTCGCAATTTGATGGTTCGTTACTGAAAACGTTATTCACCATCCATTTTTCAATTGTGTAAAACGTTACTAGACTTATTGCAAAATATATTCCATGAAACACGTCACTAATTTATTTGACAAATTGTATCCTACAAAGTGACCCAGTCACTGTAATAAATCTCATACGCTTAATACAGATGGATCGTGTAAGTCACTTGTTTCAGGAAATCCGTATTTTCGGATACTTTGATCAAAATTCAGATCACAGCTTCCTCGGGTGAAACGAGACACGACCGAGGGAAAACTGCATGCCACGCACGCCACACCCTAAACCCACCACTCGCACCCTCTAAATCTTCATTCCAATTTCACGAGACCGTTCAAAGATTTGCTTCCCTTCTCCCAGAGACTGTTAATGCTATTGCGTAACACGTGATAAGGTAAAAAAAAAAAGACTGCGTATTCGTTAAAGAACTAATAAACTAATATTTGAGTTCGAGGAAAGAAAATTGTGTATACTATTGTATAATTTAACATACATCATGAAAGAAACAATATTTGAAAATAGTTATTAAAATTCCTAATTGATTCTGAATTAAAGATGCATAAGTGAATATTAAAAAGTATAGTCAAGATATACATGCAAATAATTGAATAGACATTCACTTGGGAATGTCTGCAATTTGAACTGCAAATAAAATGCATACAAAATCCAATTATATTCTACAATATTAATTCAAGGAATAATAAGAAGAAAATGTTTGCGAATCCTTCAATCGATAACAGGTCTCTGGAAAAATGTAACGATCATACTTGATCATTAAAATAGTAGGAAAATTGGAAGCGGAGGAGATCGTGTTCGCGCTTCGTTAAACGCGAGCTAGTAGTGACTCACGGTACTGTTCAGGCGAAGTCAAACGGTAGCCAGTAGTAACGAACGGCAAGAGTCAGACCGACCCGCCAGACAGGGCACCGCACTGACTCGCGCTAACACTTTAACCGAGATCATTTGAATTTAACTGCTGGAAAATCATAAAAAATAAATTATAATACACCGTTTACACTGCGATTTATTATGCTTAACGGTTATAGTCATAGTACTATGGCGTCGGGTTCACGCAGCAAATAATAGAACAACTTTCCAATAGGATTTTCCTATAATTTGCAATCCATGTAATTATCTTAATTCCATTATTAAAAATAGCTTATTTTCAATAACGATGGAAGGTTCTGCTTTTAATTAAGTATAATGTTTAAATCTAGTAATTTAATTTGAGTTTCAAATAAATACATTATTGTAACGCTAGAAATTCAAAAATCACGTCTTGCCACGATTGCAACTCGTTTATCGGGCTACACGTCGATTACTTTTGCGGTTAACCGTCACTCTATTATCGAAGCGGGTATCGAATCATCCCCAAGAGGATCGTAACGCGCGTCCCCGATTTCCCTCATCGGGAAAAGCTTCCCAGAGATAAAATTCGGGGCCAGGGTATCGTAAGTTCGACGCTCAGCCGAATAGTTCGATAAAATGCGTTTCACGTGTTCGCACACACCGACGTTCTGATAGAAAGACTCGTCAACTATTTAAACGAGCATACCTTTTATCTGCTCGTCAATATTATAGCTACAGAGTGCGGCACGGAAGTGACTAAATGAGGGTAGCGACGTTTATTGAGATTAATTTAAATCGAGCGAGAATTATTCATAAACAGTAACGTTGATTAATTCTTATTCAGAAAAAGAAGTAGCGCACCTATAGTTAATAATTGCTGAAGTCGTATTTATTTCTCGTTGAACTGATCGGAGTTTCAATATCGAATAAAAATCCTATTAATTTTAAAATGATTTAGAGTAGAATTTCACATGAACTCGCGAAATACTGATTCGACCGGATTTGTGCATTCGTGTGCAGCAAGCTTGATTTGAAACACTTCTGGGGAAGAGCATTAAGCGAGACAGTTTTAAGAAACGCTGCGATAAGGACAATTCTTCGTAAAATAATGTTTCTTATACTAGACTTCGAGGGAGGAATGTAGAGGGTGGCGAAAGCGGAAACAGTGAGGATGCGCAAGAAACCGGTCCTGCTCGCAGTCCTCCCGCGACTTTCGTGCTGTGAGCCTCGTCTACACTGAAAACGTATCGTGACGCTCTGTTTCGCAGAATTGCTTCCGAAGGACGTTTCTAATTTAGATCAGAGCTCTAGAGGAGGATCGAATCTTCTATAAAAAAATGAGGACTTCAGTTTTGTGCCGAACGGAACATGTATTGTGGATGAAAAGTGGACAAAGAGTGAGGGTGGGATCTGAAGTGCATACACGTGGTGTTGACACGAATAAGAATTAAATAAAAAGATCAGATTCATTGATAATGTAATTATTTAAAGAAACATCTGTTTGGAAATGTGTAATTCTGTTTATAAAATTTTCTTATGAAATGCTTCTTTTAATTGTATTATTGCAATTTGAGAATTGCATGGAACTTACACGATAAATTAAACAATCTTATAAGCCAAATATATTTCTCTGAATTTGATTATCGATCGGTTTACAACTTTGAAAATGAACTATTTACAAAACCGAGACGATAAGTAGAGAGAAATTAAAGGATGAGAGTGTCATGAGTATTCATCGATTCTGGAACTTCTCAATAAAATGAAAACACACTTAGTGTCTCCAGTCAGTTTGTGGAACAAAACGGAAACAATAAATGAGCCGACGAAGTTCTGCGACTGATTACCAGGAATCTCTGCAAAGCTCCTCTACTCCAATGGACTAAAACTCCCGACAAGTTGTATCGCGATTTTACGCGTGAATTCATTTGGCCGTCGCGGCGTTCACTCAGAGGAATTTCTATGCAAATGATTCCGCTCGCTGGGGAGGCAGAATCACATTTCATCGGAGGCCAACGACTGATACTACGCGTGGAACTGCCAAGGCGAATTTGCGAACAGGGTGAATGGCTCGGGTGATTCTCGAAACAGGAGAGGAAAAGTTTCGAGGGATGGACCTTTATGGGAGGAATCAACGTTCCGATCGAAGAATCCTTGTCAACGTGGTTCGGATGGAAGCGTTCTTAAATGTAAGGACGCTCCCGTGTAGAATTTATCTCAACAAGAGTTCAGAGTTTGGTAACATTCTATCCTTTGAGTAATAACATTCCAATAGGAATAATCTCAAAGATATGCGCATAAGAAGAATTTCAGTCTCCCCCAAGTGGACTGCAAAAATTTGCACTTCATTTATGAATTATGTTTCACTGAAGTTAATTTTTTTCTTATATTCCATGCTAAAAAAAAAACATAAATTGACACGTAAGAATAATTATTTTTTGTAACACGTGATTAAAATTATGTTACCCGAGAATTCAATTATAGCATATTAACAAGCACGAGAACCGCGGGGTCGTTACGTAAACCGCGATTGCTTGTTCAACGTATCATTGTTAAAATCGAACCGCGTTAATGAGAATTCTGACCCGAGCTACCAACAGATGTAAGGGAATACTTGTTTCCGCAATTTCTGCAATTCATTTTAACGAGAATTTTCTTCAAACCGATTGTATTATTCGAGCTTGTTATTTCGTTTTGTCAGAATAGATTTCCGCTTTGTCGGAGTTACTTTGAAGTCGGATTGTAACCCCTATCCATTTCTGCTATTTTAATTAAAACGTCATCCATGCTTTATCACCTTTACACACATTTTCGATTTAAACAATTTACCTCAAAATTCACGTCCAACAGGAATCGTAATAATACTTAAATATTGGAATAATGTCAACAATGAAATTTAATAATATCGAAATATTTAATAATATCGAAATTTCTATTGACATGCAGTTTGCTTTAAATAAAACTAAGAAATAATGTAAACGTGAGTTCCAGACGTTCGTTTATACGTCAGACTACTAAATGATTATAAGTTCGTACAGAAGTGAGTGGTTTAGAGGCAAGTTTAACATAAGTCGAGAGGAATAGTCGCTCTGAATGTTTCACATTTACGAGAAATTAAAAATGTATTTCTTGAAATTCTGACCTACGTGCTATTGGTTCTATAAATACTTTAAAGGGAAGTGTGATAAAAAAAGAAGAGGAAGAAGTAGAAAAAAAGCGTAGGAGATCGAATGAACCCCGTAGTGCCATAAATGGAGGTGTATAAAAAAGGATTAATTAAACTATAATTCGATTGCCCGTCGGAAGCAGACCACGAAACAAATTTAGCTGAACTCGATTAACCCATCAAGAAAAAACGAGACATTCTTTACGAGGCCGAGCAGAAGGTCGAGCGTAAAATTTACTAATTCCGTGAAACATTCTGAGAGAGACGATAACCATAACGGGGTGAGCTTTCGACCTCGATTCCCGGGGGAGGCTAAAAAAATATTTCACAGTGCGATAGTGAACGGACGTCCGTTGACACCAGGGGAAATATGCAATTCGCAGTGATCGCTATTGCATCCATCAACAAGTTCTGTATTATACGTTTTGCTATTTTTTTCTTCGAAACGTTCCGCTTCCGTTTTATCGTCCATTCATAATTTTTTCGTGTGCTTGTTTTCAACGAGTACACATTTCTGCGAATAACGTAGAACTGCGAGATATTCGTTTAACGTAGAAAATAATTTACTTCCTTGATAGATTACATTACATTTGGCATTTTTTCGCTATATTTCTTTTTGCGGAGAAATTCGCAGAGTATTTTTTCAAATCACTGTAACCGGAGTACTCGCGATTTATTTCTTCATGACGAATTTTTACGTACGTTCGGCACAATAATTTCAATTGGCAACGCACAAAGCAAGTAATCTTTCGGGTTTCGCTTCGCCTCGCCCGTAATTTCACAAGCGAATGATTCCGTGTAAATCCTTTGTGAGGCGAAGCGGCAACCTAATGGGATATGACAGTAATTCCACGGGTTGAACTTCCTATCTACTGCCTGAACCCGGGGACGTAAACTGCGAGTGTAATTTCCTTCTAATTAATTAAAGCGACGTTTAACTTTAACGTTGATAGAGGCATTAACGTCGGCCCCGTGAAGAGGAGATTGAAATTAATCTGAAAGCGATCGAATTCACCAAAGATACCTCGACGATACAATGATGGATGTTGATAGAAAGTAGAAATTGAAAACCAGAACTTCTTCTCGTTACTTGAAATAAAAACGAGAAATTATTAACTCGGAAATAAGTTTCTGACGTCTTCATTTTTAATTAAATAATTACAAACATTTTACGATTGTATTTATTTAATAATTGAATTTCCTTCTTGTTTCTATAATTAATAACGATATCGAAATGATTATGTTATAATTTAATGTGGGAATTCACAATAAACATCGTATAACAAATATACATATATGTATCTACGTATTTCTCTATATATATATGAACGACGTGCGATGATGCAAACCGTGGTAATTATTAGCTAATGAGAAACTAGAGTGGCTTCGACTGGAAATCAGTTATTGGACTTAATAAGCAAAGTTATAATCACTAAGCGACATGGACTGGTGCACCTCGATTATTCGACGACTGCGTAATAATTAATTTATTCGATAAACACATCAATAATGGCAGTCAATGAATTTATGTATATGCACACTCCATCAGTCGACGCGATCAGAAACTCATGTTTATACACAATTCATCACGGTAATTAGCATTCTACAAACAGACCAAATAATTTGATATAATGATTAACTCAAAGCTAAACTGAACGGACTTCTCTCTTCCAGGATAAAAATGGGCTACGAGATAAGATATATTCTAATAGATGAAATTACAGCTTTTTACGTTCATTAATATGTAACGATCGTTAATAAATATTTCGTAGAAGCTGAAGATACGCTGTTCAGGCATGCAAAAATGAGACACGAACTTCCTTGGTACACGACAGTTTTTTTTTTTAGGAAATAGAAGGAAAGTATGAGAAATGAGGCAAGCAAACTGAAATATATGTAGTTCCCTGAGGAAATATGCGCATCCTTCAAGTTTTTCACTCGCTGGCTAACGATATTAAATACGTATTTCAATTTCCAGCAGAGGCAAATTGCAATGATTATTTTGTTACTATTTAACTAGGCCGAAGCGTTGATAAATAAGACAAAGACAAAGTAATCTTTTGGTAGAAGATGTATTACAATGGAAAGTGCTTTAATGTCAATAAAATTGAAAACATTTTTATTTGGTAGCACAATTTCTTGCTACTTTATGTTCTTCCAAAGAAAGCGATTTTTCAAGAGTGTTATTGGATGAACGAGCAAGTTTCGTCGTAAAATCGCTTCGAGATGAGAATAAGAAACTGTAATTTAAGTTCCTCGGGGAAATGTACGTGTATAGCGATCGTCTTTGCCCGATGTTGTCGCTGATAAAAGACAAGATATTGTCCTATAAGAAGAGAATTTTTCCTCTAAATTGCAGTGCGGAAAACACTCTCCGGCAACACGTGCAATGATTTTTCGCACGTACGTGACTGCCGACGGACAACTTGGATTACGGGAAAAGTGAACTGATCCCCTTGTTTAGTGTCCAGGAACTGAACGTGTTTCATAGAAGAATACAAAGCTTGTTTTTAATATGTTCTTTACTAATATTCAAATCCTTCGCAGAAATATTGCAAAGGAATCGCATGCTCCACCCACGTTCCTCCTACAGGAAAAGAATGATGTATCGTGCCACTGAAAATTCTTATGAATTTTGAGTTTCATTCAAAATCGTACAAACTAATATAAAAACCCCAATAAAAATTATTTTGTCACTTGGATTATGTGATAAACATGTTCAAATCTTTTTGAAATCATATTAGTTAAAATGCAAAATTATATTTTTTCCAGATGGTGTAAACAGATTTATTATTCACGAAACCAACGATGGTGGACGAAATGTCGATATTCCTAGTGGTGGTTCTCGCGGTCGGCGGTTTAATGATGATGAGCGTATTGCTGACCTGCTACGCGTGCATCTTCCGGGATCTGTGCTGCAGGCCGGAAGACAGATCGAAAAGAAGACGTCCTCAAAGCCCTAATCGGGAACCTGACGACCCCCACAGGCCGAGACTGGACGCGATACTCCTGAACGATATTACGCAAGGGGAAAGCATGCCTACGGAATCTGAGAAAGTTTAAGAAGGGAATAAGAATTTTTATGGATGAGGGACACGTCTTTCATTCTCTATGGTTGTAAATAAGACGAAATAATCTGTTTTTTTTTCAACCTGCTATGTTATGAATATCGATGTATTATATACATGTTCAAATATATTCATACATATATATATATAAACGCGCTGTGTATTGCATATATACAGCGAACTTTATTTAATAAAAAATCTCTGGTAAAAATATCTGGACAACAATCGATACGCCACATTACATGGCCATATCTACATTCGTTATAATAATAGTATATAAAATAAATTTCTATTTGTATTTTCTTCTACAATCATTATGCTACCCGTCACGCTTATAACACGCGTACGCCCCGTCCTCCCTGGTAACTCTGCTAGATGGTTGGTCTAAGTACCCTCAAAACATTGTCATAACGTTATCGTTGTATTGTGCAATCACAAATTGTTTAATCGTGTATACGACTAGCTGATTTGGCTATTAAGCTGTTGGAGTACCGACAGTACGACCTCACGTAAAGTCTGAAATATTTTCAATAAAAATTACTAAACTTTCTGCGTCCATTATTTCCTCCGTATCCGAGATGTGTTAAAAGAATGATCGTAGTACCTGAGGTTTACAATGCTCTTCTAACCAACTAAAAACGCACGCTGACAATTCAGCGAAATTCGCTACAGAAATGTTGTTAAACGTTTGAAACAAACGATCCATGATTGCCTGGAACTGAAATAAATAAATTCTGATAATAAAATTTGCTCCTTTGTCTCGTTGTGAATATTAAATTCCCGAATCGCAGTTCTCTTTCGTATCTTACCACTTGGAACTTGGTTTCATCGGACACACGCATCTCTGCTTGACCTGGCTGAGTCTGATGAGCTTTCACAATTTGCTCATAATTCGCTTGCATGATTCTCAAAGCGACGACTTCTTTCCTCAACGCATTACGTTCTTCCTCTTGCTTCTTCTTCTGTTGCAACAAGAACTGTATGTAATCGATGGACTTTTGAAGTACAGTAGCCTTGGAGAGTTTGTAACCCGATGAATCTGTATGTTGACAAGTAGGAACCAAGTCCTGGAGAGAATCATATCCTTTTTTGATGGCATCTCTTCTCTTCTGTTCTGCTTGAGTATGAGCTTCCCTTCTACGCTCTTTGTAACTTATCGTTGAGTTCTTATTGTCGCTGTCTTCATCTTCTGTAAATAATTAAAATGATTCAGATATAAAATCGAATACTAATTTAGTTTCATCTAACTCTTTATTTGTCCAAATCATTTACCAGTATTATGAGCAGACGAAGATGGTGTATTCACTGATCCGTTACTGCTGCAACGAGAAAATGTATATTTCTCTGTAGGACTAGATGGTTCTAGCTTCATATCACTGTCTCCTCCTATAGTACTACCTCCACTGTGCATTGCTAAATTTGCTGTTTCATCAAATTAACAGTGTAATATAAATATAAATAAACATTAATTCTATGTTACAAATTCATATGCTTCTGATAACTAGACATTGACTGAGATAACAAACGAAGGAAAAATAAATCCGTGTAATATTCAATTCTACTCACATATCTCGTACCCATCTTTGTGCAACGTGTCTGCCATCGCTTGAATGATTTGTTTTGTCCAGGATCAGCGAATAGAATACAATTAAAATGCGCACGTGGAAAGGTTACAACTTAGAACACGGTCGCAACAAGTAAGTTGCGCCAAGGATGTATCGTAATTGATCACGATTATCCATAAAGATATGATCGTTAAATCATCGTGTCGACGAATACGAATTAGTTTCGAGATGTTCCTTGTCTACGACGAACACGACCGCGGTGCCATGATAAACATTCCGAAATTATTTCGTAATAACGTCGATCCGCGGCCTGTTTATGTGGACGACTGCCATCTTCGACAGAAATCCGACAGTAGGAGTGAGAATAGGAGTAGGAGTAGGAATAAAGACTACGGATACTCGAAGAGGGGTGAGCCAATGACTCTGCTGAATGTGAATTCACGGATTGGCTTTTAATGTTTGTGCGACGCTCCCGCTTCAGTTTAATCAACTGTTTACTCATTACGCGCGCAACTGAAAATAACTCACGTCGCTCCATTTATTGGTAACAAGAAAGAAGAAGAAATCCGCGACGTCGGGTAAAATGGAATGACCGTACTTCCCGGGAGTTCCGATAAAATCGAAGAAAACGCGAACTGTCAAACGCAGCCATGTGCTTGGCTAGCAGACGAATATTACAATCAAGGCTGCATTAGAATTGATCCGTATACGTCTGCTTTCGTCCGCAAACTTTTAATATTTATTTTTTATGAGAGACAAAAATTATTAAAGTAGGAACACAGTTCCTAACAGGATCAGCTATCTTTTTACAAGGATTAAATAGTTTTAGTAAGGTCGTCTCTGACTTTATGTTAAATTACGTTTATTATAAGGTGTATCTAATATATATATTTACATTCGCTTTAATACATGTAAAACCATTCAAGATAAATCATATTCTTTACAGACGGGGTACGGCGTTTCGGACCGTAAAGCGAGCAATTACTTAATATTCCTATCCACTTCTCTGAAAGTTCATATTTATAGATTTCATCGTACACGAATAGTATCTCCGTTCGTAATTGCTTATATTGTGTACCCGATGATCCGGTGACCCTTTCTACCTGTCTGTGTATAGATACTGGTCCGCGGATTAATCGTTCGCATTGAAAGTTGAAAATTATCATCATCTCTGTGCTCGTGATTCTCATAAAACAGCACAGCAGCTACTAATTAGCAAATTATTCTACTTCTAATTGTGTATTCATTGTGTTATATTCGATTGTATATTCTTAGTAAATTCATATACGTAGTACACAACACTACATTTGTATCGTTCGGGGACGGATAATGTCGGAAAGCCGATGACTGTAAACTATTTTAAGATAATAAACTGACAACGTATAATATCGTCGGAATTGTAAATATTTCAGTGGGTGTACGTAAGGTACGATTGGTTACTCGTAAATACAGTTTGATGCAGTTTTATACACGATGCTGTTACATTCAGGGGCCTAGATAGATATTCATACAAAAATGAGTTTTGTTGCGCGATTTTTCGTTCGTTCGTCACTTCTCTTCTCGTATCCCTTAATTTCCTTAAATCTTATCGAAAGAGAACGATATCACTATTCGCGATGGAAGCATACAATGCAAGCATTTCGAAATTTCCGACACGGCGTCTTAATTAATTACGCCCGCCCCCGCAATCCTATATTGAACATAACATTAAGTAAAATTAACACATCTTTTTCGTTTCATTCCATATTTTTCTTTTCTCTTCCTTTTACTAATTTCTTCCGTAGCCAGAAACGCCCCACATGTATTTTATTTGAATAAAGGTCACTTTCCCGCAGTTAAATCGATAAAGCATCACATCGTAAATTCTCATTAAGTTTGAATTTAGTATCTTCAATATATATATATATGTATATGCGTGTGTATAATCACATGTACTTATTTCTTTCACTCACTGTCTGTCTCTCATACACACGTGTGACGTACTCGTTCCATCGTTTCATGCTCACTAGGTTCATATTTCCCATCTTTTTGTTTGTCCTAATTAATTTTCGACATCAATAAAAAATTATATATATATTTATATATTTCGATAATTATTTCATCATTAATTATTATATCTTATTGTTCCATTAAAGTTTAAACTAAACCGTTCCGTGTGGTATGCATATCCTGGCAAGTACCGCACTCATATATATATATATATTTTTATTTATATATTTATAATAAAGTATCATTTACTTATTATCGGTATCATTTATATTCATTACTAGAATCATGAATAATAATTAACTCACGATATTTCAAACTACGTCTCATTGAGATTAATTAGGATTGGTGCAAATAATATTAATTAATTGTTTAATTGAATCTACACAGACCGATTATCGAGCATCGCGCAGAGCAATCTGTCCGGCCTTTAAAAGAAACAGCGTGAACATGAAATTTCCACTTGTTTCATTGAATAATTTTATTGTTTGTCTCTTTCAGTTATATGTGTACGTATGTATAGATTTTACTTTATTCTCACAAAAACATGGCGCGGAATCCGTAAATTTGATCTTTAATCAATATGATCAATACGATAAATTAGGAAATCGATTGAGAACGGTTTACAAACAATTAGATAATTTTCCTATAAATAATTGATCCTATAAATTATTTCCTAGCGCTATTAATATTGCAATATTCACCTCATGCGAGAAACATCGCATGTTCAAAGGATGACACGGTGAAAAAAAAAATAACACCCGTTAAGGGTATTTCAGCAATTTTCCGTTCACATTTACAATTCACTTTCTCCTCCACGTCACATTTCCTTTTAAGGCTCACGAAACTATACCATTACAAGTATTTTGATTTTATCTAGGTGAGCTGCTCTATTAGATTATCGTCTTTAATGATTCATTCATTGATAAATAGAAAGAAATAAAACCAATGTATCACATATCATTATGCAGAAGTCAATTTTCAAAGCCTTTAACTTTAACTATTCGTTTTGTGGCCTAAATTGATAATACAACGTAAGTGAGATACACAAACTATCTGGATGTAAAGTTAATAGTTTACTCTCTTTTATTTCTCCATTTGTTGTGTGTGTGTGGAGTTAGCTAAATTATGAAATTGGAGTACCTGCGCGAACCATTCCTATTCAGTCCTCTCAGGTACTTAGTAATTGATGCTGCAAAATAAAACACTAGAATCAAATCTGATATTCATTCGTAAATTTTCTCTAGAAATCTCTACAAAGAAAACTTCATCTGTCTAGGTGTAAAAATAATTCTGCCTAATAACATTTCATTCAATTTAAAACTGTAATAAATAATTAATCTGAAACAAAAATCACTTCTCTTTTTTCTCTAGCAAATTTTGCGTTTGTGTATTTCTCTCTGTATTGTCTAGTAGATTATTTAGCCAGACTGTTATGAATGAAACATTTAAAACAAAATATTACGACGAACCATAAAACAAATGTCAGAAATGTTTAGCGAGTTAATGGTAAATCAGTGCATGGTTCGTGATCAAGAAATACAGAAGGTGAATACTTGCTCGCCACTATACACGTAAATATAGGACGTACATTATGCTCTATTAATGTCTTATTGTTGCGAGATAAGCATTCTATGCAAAATTCATCCCTTCTATCATCCTTGCGTGTATACCATCACGACAATAATAATAATAATAATTAAAAGGGTTCTAAAAAAGTAGTTCCTCCATTCCTTTACGAACGAAACGAATGATCAACTATCATTTAGAATATTTGTAGACGTCACCGTGTGTGACAAATCGTCCGTAATAAAATAGGAAAATCAATTGCATTCAATTCCCTTCGCGCGGTTCACCGACATGGCCAGAATTTCATTTTATCTTTCGAAACGAAGGTTCGTTGCGCGTAAAATGCAGGACGTTCAAGAACGAATTTTGTACTTTTCTAAGATCATTCGCTCGCTAGCGTGAAGGGACACGTTACTCGAAATAGAAAGACCTCTTCTGAGAACCCAGTAAAAATTGTTACACAGATATTTTTGTACCATTATCAGAATCGATTTATATCTTCGAGCGTTTAACCTGGCGTGACTTGGCACGGCGAGGTTTCTTCGCGGCATCGCTCGGTGGTTCCTCCATGGTTGATTTCCGTTTTGAAGATAATGAAGGCACGGGAGCCTTCGGAGGTGCCATTTCCACAACTGGCGGCGACAGTATTGATGTCGGTGGCGATGAAATTTGTTGCGTGACCACCGGTTGCTGCGGAGCAACCTCTGTCGGACTCTGTGCGTCCGTTATAGGAATAAAGTCCAGCCCTTCGTCGACTGTGTCCGATACCACACCCTGATTCGTCAGAACCTGCAGGTCCTCCGTCGCAACTAATACAGACTGGCCGCAGACTACACATAATGGTATCGCCGGAGACTTAGATCGCCAATACTGAAGCTCTGTTTTACACTTGTTCAATTCCTGCACAACAAACAATCGAACTTATTGTAATAACCAAATGAAAACATCATAAATCGTTTAAAATTCAATTTTCAAATTAATCATACTCAATTTATACTTTTGTTTAAATAGATGTGTAGCTGTCGTGTGTTGTTTTTACAAGTACTAAGTATACTTTAGTAAATACCTGTAGGAGTGTGCTGAATTTACGGGATGTCTCCTCGTTCTTTTTATCGTTTTCGTCAAGACGGGTCGCATACTCAACGATTTGTTTCTGCTGTTCAGCTATCTTTGCTTTACAATTTCGTAGATCTCTACGCATTAACGTTAACTGACTGTTGTATCGCTTCATGCCTTGTTTGATTTTACGAATTCGTTTTCGCAACACCATGTTCGATTGTGGAGGCGACACGGTGGATTCCAGTAAGGCAGGATCGTCCGAAGAGTGTGGTGGAGATCCTTCCTCTCCGCTATTATTCCCTGATTTACTACTTCCAACCGTTAATGGTGCAGAGTCAAGACATATGAATGGCTTGCTCACATTACTAGAAGCTGTAACATTTGAATTAAGTGACGCGATCTCGTTCAATCCGAAGTGAACAATTTCATTCGATTGCTCACAAGAGAAAGTCCCAGCAAGATCTAGGAAATCGGCTCCAAAATAAGGGATTTCTGGTAATGTTGGCTCAATGCGTTCCTTGAAGTACTCCATAGCCATAGTACTTAAATCAAACAACTCATCTGTAACTTTATATGGTCTGGCTAATTTAGGAGTAATTTTAATATAGTGTAAAATACGATAAACCTCATCTAAAATCTGAAACAGAATTAAAAATTGAAATTCGTATATTATATTCGCATGTTCCTGATCTTACGATCGATTAGGGAGACTTCACTCACCTCTCCAGGAAAAAAACAACAATGCTTGCGTTCAATATGTTTGCCGAAGCTCATTTGCAGCAAAGTGAGGCGCATGTGAAGAGTTTCAATGATATCGGATTCACATGCCAGCGGATGATTACGACGCGCAGATTCACGTCTCGGCATCTGTGCTTTGATCGCCTGAAAGCGGCTCAACATTTGTGCCTGCAACTTCTGAAATGTCGAATTCAAAATTGATCCACAAACTCGATCCATTTGATGGCAGACCTGCGAAAATAAATGAAGCACGAATATAATTAATTAATGAACTGAGATTAAAATATAATACTTCGTGACATTAACTTACTGGACGTAAATGAGCCACTGTGTTGTAGTCCAAGTAGCTAAAAATCTTTTCAAGGACTTCCACTGGCAGGTCGAGGAGGTGTACATGGCTCTCCAAAGTTGCGGCTCCACTGTCCATGCTGGTCATTGCAGATTGATGTTTTTTAGATGAATTCACATCTGCAACTTCGGCAGCCGGAGCACCTCCATTGCCTCCTCCCATACTACTTGATAGACGAGTCGACACCATAATTTCAAGACTTTGATGATCAGCTTCACCAAAAACCTAGGGAAGAACGAAACAAAAAATACTGTTTATTGTAATACATGAGAGCGAAGAATCAAAGACAATTTTGGTACAATATAAAAACTCTCGATCTAACAGCACCAAGAATGCATACTTTTTATATTCCAGTTGATCAGAAATTATTATTATATTGATAAGCCACTGACAGAAATTACACACGAATCCTTGAAATATTTTCGACGAACATCGACGCATATAACAGCATTAGTTGAATAAACAATTAACACTGTTTTATTCTGATTCTTGTATCTTTATTTATTCATATTATCGTACAGTTATCCAAATTTTATTATGACGTCCAAGTTACAGAGAAATCACGGTAAAAGATCGAGAACATGTAACTCCAATTGCGTCAAACATGGCACAAAATTCGCACTGATTTCGAGAAGTACGAATCACCAAAAAAGAATTCTGTTAAGAAGAAACTCGTACGACTTCGTCACGACGAAATATCGATGGGATACTGACGAAAAACAAATTTGTAATGTAACCTACGACACATCTTCAGCAATGTCTGTGTAGCTCGGTTATTCCCATCGGTTCTCGAAAGGCGAAAAACAACGAACGTTAGCAGACGGTATAAACAAAGAATCGACGAAGAAGCTGATGAAAAAGTGTAGCGAAAAACGACGTTCCAGTGAAAGCTTTGATCGAGAGAAAGAGAAATCAAATCGACGAATTTGAGAAAAAAGAACGGTCTGAACAGTACGCGATTAGCGACCAGTTTAGGAACGAGGAATCCCTGTACCGTAGCTAGTAGATCGACACTAAGTTTACGCGGCGCTCTAATATCTTGAGAGATTATGTTCCGTAACTAAAAAGGGTAAAATTTGAAGAATATACGAGCAGATGGACATGGCGAGTTGAGAATTGCACTAGTAGCTAGTTCATCGCTACGCTTTACAACTTTAAACGACGGTGTTTCGCAGTTGTTATTGCGAAAACTTTAATTCCCGACTTCCAATTATGAAAATACCTGTCGGTATAGTTATGTCTTATTTTAATGACGAACTTGAACCGCTACTTAGAAATATTCGGTGATACGATCAACCGAAACTCGTCGGATTTGAACTTGCACTACTATGATTATCGTGTGGCAGCCCGTCACACGAATACGAGATATCATTGCCCCTCACTGTTAACGAGATGACCGTTGCATGTTGTGCACACAATCGTGACAAAGTTATACAAAACCCGATGGAAACAAACAGAGGGAAACCGGGTGACCGTGCGCAATCGATGCATCCATGACTTGTCTGTCTTTCGATAATGAAAAAAGGATCGAGGAAGCTACGCACGGGACTGAACGTGAAGTAACAAGGAGGGTCGTGGCCTGAACGTGAAGGAAAATAGCAAGAGGAAGTCGAAAAAGATCACGTACCCCCTGTTAAATGAGAAAAAAGCGATCACTGTATCCGCGTTGGTGTTTTCAGCGACATTTTGACGGAGATCCCTTCTTCCTTCTCCTCACGACCCCTGCTCGACGATCTGGTTCTCACTCCGTTTCACTATCGAAGCCTTCTCTCTGTCTAGTCTCAGGTAGCCCTGTCGCTCTTGTTCCCAGCCACTTTTCTGCCCCTCTTTTTCTCGCTTAAGCGTAATAACGCTGGTGTAACTATGCCGCACTCACACAGTAAAATCCGTAACCCGGAAAAAAGCCCGCGCGTCGAAGAAATCCGTTTCCTTTTTTTCTCTCTCCTCCCTGTTTCTCTCTTTCTCGTCCACCTATCCCGAGACCTGTTTCTTTCACCTTCGTAAAATCGCCGTCGGGTGCATCGGCTTCGTGTCTATAAATACCCGAATAAAGACTAACGATGACACTATCTCATCTACAAAGAAGCCGTTTTTCATTTGCTCGCAGAAACGGATGGCTCTCGTTCCCTTTCCTTTGTGCAAAAGATACTTTGTTCCCTGCTGTCTTTTTTCCTAACGGTCAAGAAGCTAATTGGCTCGATTTTCTCGTCGAATCAGCTTGCTTTCGTTATCGCTGGAATCGAGATGATCGGCGCACGATCAAACGCCAACGTCGACGATGACGACTATCACGGCGACAACGGCGACGACGAAATACACACACACGTGCGTGGCTGGTGTGCTCGTCCAGTTCGCTCGACGACGGTTGTTCACCGTTCCGTGAAAACGTACCCAACTGTTCGCAAACGCTTTTCTCATTGGTCATGCAGGTAGGCCTGTTCGCAACACGCACTGAATCTCACGTTGTTTCAATGGCTATTTCGTCTCCGCAAACATTGCAACACAACACATGCGGTACGAGCAGGACAGGCAGAGGCACAGCTCGCACTGGATCGCACAGATTACTTTATGTACGAGACTGCAAAAATGTGACCGTTACCATAGCAACGTTGTATCTAGTAAGGAAACTCGAAAACAGTTTGTGTCTACGGCCGATGCTAGCGACGTCTACGGTTTGCGCTGATCGATCCGAAGGGTGAATGTTTCGAATCAAAAAATTATATAATAATTTCTAATAATAAAAGAAATAAAAGGCACGATTTATCGACAAGAGTAACCCTCCAGCGCCAATATTATTAGATTCTTGCATTTTAGAAAAGCCCACAAAATTCCAAGGTACCCTTCGACATTTTTGGAATATCATATAATAATCCTTATTGCTTCTTTTATCTAAAGAAAACAAAAATACTTATAGATCACAGAACGATCCAGAAAGATTAAGAAAGATTTAAACAAACTCAAATGGAAATTATACACTTACCGCATTTCTTACAATCAGAGAAATGGTGGATTAAAAATAAAATTGCGAAATCTAGAGATGCTCAGATCTTAATTTTGTTTTTACATAATGAAGAATTAATTTTCAGATTAATATAAATTACTATTTATTCACTGAAATTTAATTGGGTGACACGATAGTATATCAATTGACATTGATAGATGTACGTGCTTTTATCTTAAATTAATAGAGAAAGTAATTCAAGTTCGACTTTTGTATCATTTAATACATTACATCTTTATTTCTGTTCCATTTTATTTCTCTTCTCCAAAAAATAAAGAAACAGAGGAGCAGTATGAAAGGAGGACGGGAATAAATTTCTCTCTCTCGTCACTTTTAAACTTGTAAATCAACGAGTGCTTGTTGCCGTTTTTACGAAATGGTTTTTTTCTGTCTAAATATTGTTCCAGACAGTATACCGCGTAATAAAATCGTAGAATTATCAAAATGACTGAAAACATAAATCGCGTCAGGCCCATTTCTGTCATACGAAAATGATTACCTCGTTGACCTTTCGTGAAGGAATTCGCCTCTGCCCTTTCCTACTTTTCGACTTAATGTCTGAAGACCATACAGTTTTGTACATTAAAACAATTTCTGTGTACACAACTCGTTTACGTTGCATAATGCTTTGCGAAATCGGTTCTAACCGTCTACCGACGATTTTCTTGAAACTTTTATTCCGAAACGTATCAAACGCGGCGACCTTCATCAAATATTTCGAAGGCTGGTTGAAGCAGCTGCAGCTAACATCGATATTTCGCGTTGCTAGCAAACAATAAATTACATTCTGATGTTTGTACGTACAACTGTTGTACAATTATTGCGATCAGCTTTACCTGTTTTATACTTGACAATAATTGATTATCAAATACTATTGTATACAATATGCGTTCTATTAATGCGTGCATGTGAAACAAAATGATGACGTTTAGATAAAACTATGCAAGAGTTTTGGAGATTTCCTTGATGCGCAGAACAGTCAGAGGAACATGTAACAACCGTAGCGGAAGCGATCTCACCAAACGGAAACTGACACAACCAAAACCTCGTGCGTAATAGTTTTTCTCGGACGTCAAAGTACCGCAAACTGCGGCTCACGTAGCATAAACCTTTTAACACGATCTTTCATTCTGACACGAAGTGAATTCCATTAACGAAAATAACTTTATCAGAGACTTCAAATCACTTGACTATAAAAAGAGAAAAGAAACTTTCAAAAAAGCAGTTTTAATATGGCCATATTTATTGATCGGGAAATTAAGTCAAATGATA